GTGTGTGTGTGTGTGTGTGTGTGTGTGTGTGTGTGTGTGTGTGTGTGTGTGTGTGTGTTGTTGAGGAGTTTTTCCTAACAAGACTAGTCTATAATAAGAATACACAAGAGATCTGCTGGCTCTGTTGGTATCTGTAACAAAGCCCTAACATATTACAGAAGTAGGTGATGTGAGCTTGGATGGCATGAGGGCTCGGAGAGAGGTTTATATCTGAATAACTGAAATCATATCTACATGCTGTTACTGGGCGAAAAAAAATAAAATAATACAGCTTCTCTTAACTTTGTTCTTACTAAAAATCAAGACACACCAATGCCAACTTCCCAAAACAGCAGCACAGTGACATCTTTTTGTTTTAGATAATAGTTCAACAAAAAGGCTACTATAGTTTAGAAGATCTTCCGCTTAGCATTAAGGCTAGCTAGCCTCTAACAGTGTTTGTTTAATTTATATAGATACAACTGTGTGAACGAGTCACTTTGTGGGGTGTGAGGTAAATATTTTCAGCCTAACAGTTTATCCCATTCATCCAGTACTTAGATAAACAACATCTTCGGCTAACGTGAAGATTTCCCGGCAACTTCACTGTAACTCTGACTGTTACCTGCCAAGAAGCCGTCAGAAAACCACAAATTAACAACCTTTGTATAAACAGGACTGCAGAGGTATTGATAGCAAATAGCTAAACTTAGTCTAGCTATTGCAGACACATTATATGAGAAACACGACACTGAAAGATTCCTGAAAGAGAATTCTGCAACAGCAAAGATGATGGTAGGAGTAGACTTGTGACATGAAGGTTCCCAGGGAACAGTGAGGTTAAGTTTCATTCAAATAATGCTTTAAAATAACAGAATTGAACAGACGAGTCTTCAACTTGGCAAACCGCTTCCAGAAAGGCACTGAAGACTTGCTTACAGGTTCCAAGCTAAGCTAATTAACTTGTTTAGCTATTTTACACAGCCATTGTAAGAGAGACATTAACTTCCTCATCTAAGCCATCAGTCACATAGGCTTAGAGACCTGTCAGCAACCCCTAGCAACCTCTGTATTGCAACCTCTGTATTACCAACACCAGTTGGTGAGTGGCTGCAAGATCAACCAAAAAAGGTGCTGGACCTCCATACAAGTTGTGGTTCATGACAGATTGATGCGATCACCCTTCGTTTGCATGGAAGATGCAGACTTGTCTGCAAACATTTACTAACTGACCTCAGAGCAGCAGTGAAACAGAGAATGTTCACCTTCAAAGGAAAGTTATTCTTTACCAATTTTTATACTGAAGGCCATCAGTCTCAAGCAAACAAGCTGGCATCTTATCGGGCGACCTCAGCAACCACAGGAAGGTTTTTGATGCACCACTGTATACCTGTTAACAACCAATTTCACCTTGAGACTCCCAGCAACCTCCACAAACCACCAACCAGTGGGGGAATACACATTTTTTCGTAGCAACCGTCGTCACAGTGGGGTCACTAACTGGTGCTTAGGCCTGCATGACTGGGAGTTAGTAATCAATTTCACAGCAATTGCTAACAACCGCAGCAAGCGGTCAGAAATAATAATTTTTCCCTAGAGACCGGTGGTTGCCAGGCAGCCATCGACCAGTCTCTTGGGCTTGTGTGACTGGGCTCAAACTTTGAGAAACAAAACCAATAACGCAATGCAAGCAAATAGTTCACTCCAGAAATGGTATGATTTCCTGAATATTTAAGCAAGCAATACACTTGCAAAGTACTAACTGACTAATTACTGGATCAAACATGTATCCCTGATGACATTTCCAAGGGCACCTAAATGTCTCAGAACTTACTAAGTGTGTATGTGCACCATCGTCCTGGCCTCAGCCAGATCAGACAGAGCATAGGTCTATATAAGGACATGAGCAGTGGACCTTGTCATTAGTCACATGGATGGAGGAAGAGAAAAAGAGAGCAAGGCAGAGACAGGCACAGACGAACAGAAAGGTTCAAATTATTTGCCAGCTTACCATCTTAAGGCTGCTGTGAGGATTAAAACCTTTTTCTCAAGTTCAGATCTCAGTGCCCTTAGGTGACGGCGTCATGCAGTAACATGACAGCTCTTGATGATACGTGCTGATATTTTTGGCTCTTTCCATTGGTTGTTTCTCACAGGACCACTGTTAGCTGCACTTACTGCAATTTCAAAGGTTTCCTGTGTTCACACTCATATCGCTCAGACACTCAGTAACAAAGAGAATGCATCGGCGGTGAATTTAATCTCTCTAAAAAATCTTTCTGAGTGAGGACTTTGCACGTAGGGGTCACCATGGTAATAAGGCAATACAAAGGTACCGCCACCTGATTTATAAAGGAGTTTGAAGGCATCTTATTTGGGAAATATAAGTCCTAGATCAACCAGCAACAAGCGCTCGGTCATGTAGATATCCATCCAGAGGTTTTCTAGAGCACTCTGATGTGCAGCAGAGATGTGTGGTGGTTCTGGGGAACAGATGTCTGCCTTGCAAGGACAGCTCAGAGGAGGACCGGTAGTTCCTCGGAGGCCCGAGCCCTGGAGAGAAAGTGGGCTAATAGTAAAAGGAAAGGGAGGACAAACTGAGTCTATATCTGTAGCCTCGGCACTCTGCCGTCCGCCCTCCTCGCATCAAAAGTTAATTTGCAGTTAATTAGAACGTGGGGCTATACAGGCAAAGAGGTAAAAATAAACCCACTCCATCCCCAGCCTCTCCTCCATGTACACCACCTCTTCCTCCACTGGTGCTTTCACTAGCTTAGTTCTCTCCACCTCCTCTGTGTTTTTTGCCCATGCCTCTGTTTTCTCAGTCGATGGCCTACTTTTCAGACAGCGTGGGGAACTAAGAGACTCTGCCTGGGTTTTAAGTGGAAATCACTGTTTAACAGTGTTTTACTTTTTCATAGGTTTGTCAACAGCTAAAACTGTTGAGTGATATAAGTGATAATGGAGCAAAACTGCGTTGGAGCCATGACAAAAGATTGGGCTAAATCTTCTCTACTTCATCACATGAACGCCGTTTGCACTCGAGTGGTACAGATAAAAAAAAAAAAAACAGAAAGGGGACTTTCAGTATGACCGGGTGTACCCTCATTTTCCTTTTCATTTCGATATGAAATCTAAAAACTTGAGGCCTATCGCTTCTTCTTTAAAGTAGGACACTATCACAGTACTTCTTTTGGGCACTGGCTGTAGGCTGAGTATCTTGTGACAAGATATTTGCAGATTGCAAATAACCAATCTTTGAATTGAACAAATACCATGCAAAGCACTCTGGCTGGGCATGCTGATAGGAAATGTGGTGTCACGCTGACATCTGAAAAGTGAAGAGACAAGACAAATTACCGCCCAAACTACAGAACTGTTGACGTCTTCGTCCTTTCACTGTTGACACAATGACATTCCTAAATAAATTAAATTGAAATCACTGACATGTAAAGTAATGAAAGCACTTCTACAAACTTATGTGAAACGTTACAAATTTGGACACTTGCTCTCTATGAGATGCTGAAAAGCTGGGGCCAGACTGCTAATGGACGTTCCCTAATTCATGTCACATTGTTTGGGCTTTTTTATAGTGTTTGTGCTCTTCTTATACCCTTACCCCAAATGGAAGAAGCACAAAGCTGACCTTCATGAACCTCCTAGCTCTTTTAGATGTTTCTTCATGCTTTTTTGTCTTTTCTACACAGTGTATCTTCAAAAAAAAATCACTGGGTTTGTCTTAATAATACTGCAAACTCTTTGCTTTACTACTGAAGTGAAACGACACTATAGAAATAACACTGAACTGGAGTGAATAAAACAGGATACAGCAATCAGAAAACAAACTCAGACTGCACAAGCAAGACAAAAAGCAAAAGTATCGGCATGACTAGACCCCACCAGATGTTTTTTGGTGAGTGCGTGTTTCCACTGAAGTGATGCTGACCTAAATAAATAAAAAGGGCGGCTGCACTAAAAAATAAAACTAAA